TTATAAATTATTTTAATAAATATTGTTAATTGATTATTTGGCAAACGTAAATCAAATATCACAATTATTTGATTCAACTAATAAAAGACACAATATATTAACTATTTATTAACATATATTTGATGGAATTTATGCTTGAAAATTCATTATACTTGTAATATTAAATTTCGATTATATATTTTTTGTTGGTCTGTTGTGTTTTAACTAGCTATTATATATATTAATTCGAGTCAATGTCATTTTCGCATTTTTTAGTTACTAATGAAATCACGGATACAAATCGATTTCAAATCAATTTACAACTTTGCAACGTGTTTAATTAAAAAATACAGTCATATTTAATTACATTTTTTAATGCTTGTCAATCACTTATTGTAAATAAAAATTCAGCGTTTGTACATTGTAATTTGTCAAGACACGAAATTTATTCGATCGAATTTTATTGACATAATCTAATTATATTTTCGAATATTGCAATTTGCAGATTTTTTTATTTATTTGTAATTTATATGTAATTTGTATTCTCTCTTTCCATATATATATACTATTAAGCGAAATAGTAAAATTGTTTTCCCGTTGCAATATAATAAAATGCACATCGCGTGCGATTAACTTTGGAGCATCATACACAAAGTATCACGCGATCATCATATTTTATATCATTTCATTAGTATAGGAGCGATCATAATTAACCGTATTTTCGCAAATGCCATGAAAGAAAAAGCGAACAAGAGAAGAGAAGAAAAAAATGAGGATATTCAGGAGATTACATATACAACAAGATAAACAATTTATAATTTATTTAATTAATTAATTTATAAATCGCAAAATTCGCTTATATATTTTTACGGTTTAACTAAAAGTTATATATGTGTGTGTATATATGTATATATAGAATTATGGGGCTGTAGATGTTCATTACATACTATAATGAAATTATAGTAAAGCGGTATTAAAAGATAATAACATAATGCTTATTCCACCTTTATAATGTAATGACAAGTAATGTATTGCATCTGATAGCTACCATCCCTGTTGATCTTTTCAGACTCTATCGCATAGGTTTTCAACATAAACTCCCCAATAGAATAGATTTTTTCCGTAAAACAACTCCTTTACATCTATTATGTATGAATCTGATACGCGGAATTGATTTCCATGTTAAAAACCGCCTGTAATATTCAGTATGCTACGTTAGCCCTTTAGGGTACCAATTTGGTGTAACGTGCGTTTCAAATTCATGCATGAATAATAGATCCCTGTATACCCATCGTCGGCGGTACCTATATGCGGGTTGGTAAACGGGCGAATGCTCATTTCTTTTTTCGATACTATCCGCCTCTATCTCGGCAAAGTGAAATTAAAACTGCTGGCTGCGTGGCTAGGCGATTTTTGCCAAAGAGACGTTCGAATATGATCAATATTTTTTCACTTATTAAACAATAATATTGAAACTCTTTCATATGCAATTTGTAAATTGTTCAGTTGTATTTACATTTAAATATGCAACTGTTATAAGTAAACTATTGTGTTGTGAGAAAATAATAGCGCAAATCATATTTTTTTATATTTTAAAAGATAAAAACATAGCCTAGTTTATAATTCTGTATAAAATAAGGATTTGCATGAAAAATTTCAAACTTTCTAAATTTTTACTGTTTATAAATAAAATTGGTGCAAGAGGTATGTGTATTTTCACACATTTCAGAATTACAGCAAAACATGGATCGATTATTAAGTTAATGGAATTATTTAAAGTTGCTGGAGAGCAAGCAAATTTTTTTTATTTTTCCCAACTTTTGCAACATTGACCATATATTTTTCTCGCTCTCACTTAGCAAATATAAATATACAGTCCTTTGACGCGTGTTACATCACATCGCGTGAGGCGCGACGAACAGTTAAGAGAAAATTTTTTAACTGCTTTTATATAATAGCTTGTGTACTATTGAATTCTTTATTTCTACAAATGCTGGCTTTAGATGAAAAATCTGTATTTTCAAGTGACTGCGTGATACACGACATAAGCGCACGCGAAAATAAAAATGTGGCTTATTCGTTAAGTGTTAGTTTTATTCAGTGGAAAATTTTTATCCTGAAAACCGGACATAGAAATTTTCCGTTGAATAAAACTAACACTTAACGAATTTTCGTATGTTTATTAGAAATTAAAGAGGAATAAATGTTTCATGTTACATATTTAATATATCTATCAAATATATATATATATATATATATATATATATATATATATATATAAAGTATCTTGATATAGTTTAATATGTTATTGTCTTTTTTTTGAAAGATAAAAATTTCTGAACATTCGCGACGAAACATATAACTTAAATATATTATTATAATATTTAAATTCATAATCGTATAAATAACTTGAATACTTCTCGTATGCTCTTTTATTAATTTTGCTATAGAAAAACATGTACTTTGCGGATTATTCTGATATGAGCATTTCACGGATCATACACACGTCGTTGAATATCGCGTTTGTAAACAATCTCCATGCTAAAAGTTCGAGCAACCCCAGATAACTAACTTTCGTCTTTAAGACGTGCGTATGTGTATATTAAGATCTTTACACGTAAGACGTAACTCGACTTACCGTAGGTCTTATGCATCTTACATCAGATTCTCCTTTTCCTCTTCTTCGTCTTTCTTCCTCTCTTTCTTTAAGTCGACTATGTCGTTTGATGTAGTGGTACTTTCTGATTAACTCTGGATTTCTCCTTGCATGTACTTTCGTTGCAGTATCATTATTCTCACCCTTCGAAGATATCGTTTGCATGCTTATCGCATGAATTGTGTTCGATCGATAGCAATTTTGCGAATAGTAATAGCTCTCAAATTGAATTTAATATTATTTGTGTGCCTGAAAAACAGAGAATACTCGACAAATACTCAGAGAATATTCAACAAATACTCGGCTTTTCATAAGATGTTTGAAAAACTTCAAAATCGCGTAAACGATTTAAAAATAATTTTACTTTTAAAATAAATAAAATTAATATGAACAATTTTAGTTTTATATAAAATAAAATAGATGCTAAATTTTGTTTTTCTTAAATTAATGGTTATATTAATTTAATGGCTTTTCGATTAAAACATCTTACAAAAGATATGATTTGAATATGATGTAAAGCCCAAGCGACATGTCTAAAACTCTAAAATGATCTCATTGAAATGCTTGAAAACACGATTCGAGGAGAAGGAGGAGAAAAAGCTTGATTTTCCACACGATGAAGAATGTCCGAAGATGTTCGGTATTTCTAACATAGTTTCCCATATCCGGATGGAAAGTAAAGTCGCCTGGGATGACCCTCGGGCCGATATCTGACTTACGGACAGTGGTCCCAAGAGCATTTTATCCATCAAAGTGGTTTCATATGTATCTTGCAACTTTAAAGTCGTCAAACGTAAAGCCGTTCGTTTTCCTTTCATGTCGCGCTCGTTAAGAAAATAGCTAGATACATCCTTGTAATACAATGTAATACCTCGAGATCGTGTCCGTTTATTGTTAGAGAATCAAATGCAAATATTAAATAAAGAAAATTTATATGCGCGAAAACAATTTATGCGTCGAACAGCCCTTTCTTTCCCAATTTTCTCGTCGAAAATTTGCAGATCATCGGACCGTGTCCGGATTTGTCGAAATTATTTTGTCGTTGATGCTGTATAATACGAGCCGCGAGCGCGAATTAGGCACAATCTCGGGGTATTACATTGCATAATTACATACCCACTTCATTATTGCATATCAGGGGGGAGAGAGGATCACGCGCCTCTGCCGGACCAGATCGAGCTGGATCGGACGAGCGGATGGCCGGCGGTTAAACCTTGGGCTTGGGGGAATGAAAATTCAGTTCGACGTGCAATCACCGAATTTCAGACACGTGTACGTCAGTAAATTGCCGTCGATACGGAAATATCGGGTGAACGCACGAATCGCGAATACATGCGTGTTGGCGTGAACGAGCGAACGTGTGTCCTCACGCGCGTGCGTTCACCTTCCGTGTTAGGATTATATATTTATATACACACGAGGGATTCGATTACACGGGTACTCGGCGCTCGCGTCGATGATGTTGAACGTTATAATTTTAGGGGATAATAAATAGCGCCGGGATTGTGTATCCTGTGCGCGCGGCGGACCTACCCGAATTCGATGTAAATATTCATGGTCGTAGTACGTGTGCATGCGTATGCACGCGCGCGAGGATTATTGTCGCGGATGAACCGTGGCGTGGCACAGCCTGCGTGTACACGGCCGGTTTTAAGCGGCCTAACATTTTTCGCGCGTTAAAACTATTGACCGGAGTGGGTGTTGTGGGGTATTCCACCCTACAAAATTGTGGCACGTTGGTGGCTCTAATGCTCACATTTTCATCCCCATCGCGTGTAATACTGATTTTCGCTTATGAGAACGCCGTTCGACGACTTGCAGATTATCTTTTCCCGCGTATATGACTGCATCACCGCATGTTAATGCGATTTGTCACTATCCTCTCTCCCTCAACGCGTGAATATATATATATATATATATTCTTTTTTTTTGCACTTGACTTTGGTTAGCTGTTTTTCGTTAATTCTTTTCTTTGCCGACATTGTCGGAATTTTAACAATGCTGAAAAGTTGGAGTAAAAATCGATGCATATCTCCAGTTGCATTAAAACATGTGCATTTCTACAAATGTATAAATTATTTGGATATTTTTTAAAATAATTTCTAATAATTACATATTATATTCGAGATAAGTGCTTGAAATGTCAATATAAATTAAAAATTAATTATTATTTTAATAGACACTTTATTTCAAATATATCTTATTGATAGACAATAATGTAATTAAACATTTTTTAGCATATTAGTAAGCTGTTATGATTTTTTATATCGCTCATTGTAATTGTTTAGATATTTTGCAAATGTTTCTGAGCAAAATTTGTAATATTTTATCAATATTCTTTTTAACTTATAATTGTTGTCCACAGAGTTATACCTCGGATGCTGAAGGAATGAAATATCCATTGAGACGTTGCTGGCCTATCATTGCCATCTCGATTCATCGATTGCGATCGTCCAAATGTGAAACGGAATATTTGCGGAACGGAGTATTCGCGAAATCTGCATAAAGTCATATATCACAAATAAATGATATATAGTTCGGGAGTGCCGTGCAAAGTGTCGCGCGTCTATTTTAATTAATTTCAATTTCGAAAGCGTACAAAGTATGTACATCGCGTGTCCGGGAATGCCGTGTGAAGTATCGCGCGTCCGTGGAGTGTCGTGGACGGTTCGCGCAGTCGTATTTTCGTCAATGAGTGTAACAATGCAAAAGGAGCAAAACCTGAGAGGACAAGGAGGAAGAGGAAAGTGTCGAACGATAAAGAAACAATCATGATGTGAGTAAAATTTATTATTTATATATCATTATTTTATGATATTAATCATAGCATTTACCTCATTTATTTACATGAGTTAAACAGTTAAGTTAATTGAGAATTAGACAAAAATATTATATATATCTTGTGAAGTTTATAATTAAAAAACGAAAATAGGTTTTTAGAAATGGTATATTTCATTAAATATTTACTTGATTAATAATTTCGTTGATTAATAATTTGGCTTACATTATACAAGGTCCCAGAAGAGCACTATATACAAGCGCTTGTGGTCAGTAAATTGAACAAAAAAGATCCACTTTACGATTTTTACAATAATAATAGAAAAATTAAATATTAAAATCGGACGAATGAGCTCAACCGCTCGAACTATGGTCCAACGTGTCAGATATTTTGTCAGCATACGGCAAGGAAAGGGACAGCGCAGTGATGGCGGTGTAATCAATGGCAGTTCCTATTTACTTATTTTTTCTAAATAAATAAATTTAATGTTTAATAAAATCTTAAATTTCACGTTAAATATATTATTAATTTTTTTAAATTTAAATAAATATATTAATACAATAATTTGTATTTATTTTATATATATATATATATATATATATATATATATATATATATATTAGATAAATGTCAATAAAAAAAAGTCAATGGACAGTTGTCAATGATAATTGTTAATTGATAATTTTAAATTAGAAATTTGAAATTGAGAATTTGAAATTGAGAATTTTTTAAGAGCGAGTGTATTATAAAATAAAATAATTGTGTAAAAAACGATTTTGATGTAATGAGTTAGAATGTCATAACAAGATATTAATATTGATGTACAGCTTCATAAAAGTATATATGGCAAAGTAATATGAAAAATTTATAATTGAGTAATTCACATTGGTTGTGCAGAAAACTTGTCACTTTTTTTGGAAATCTCACATCATTTATTCTCTCAGCCTTAATATGCTTCTGAAATAAGATTATGTATAGTAACGATTACAGGCAGCGAAATACAAGCTTACGAACAAATATGAATATAAATATGAGTTCTCGGTTTATGCGTTTGCAAAATTCGTCTTTTAAACGTTTATACATATATGGTCTCATATTTACATATAATATAATATTGTTCGATTAGGATAATTTTGTATCCGATAAAATATTATTGTTATATCTTCCAATATTTACAATGAATTTTATTTTATTTTATTTTTTTTTTCAGATCGAAAATCGTGGCATCGATGGACAAGAGAAATTGCAACCGTTCTGGAACAACTTGTCGTCGCTTGTTTAGGTAAGTAATACAAATAATTTTGAAAAAATAAAGTAGAAAAACAATGACATTCAACAGGATACTATTTTAGAGATTAATATAATGATATATATTCGTATGGAAAAGTATAAATTTCACAAACACAACGAATATAATGTTTGGAGAAAGAGATATCGCGTATATATCAGATTTTTTTTAAATAATGGATACAGCGAACGTGAACGTTTTCGCATATTCGCGTCCGATCACGTGTTATTCTTACACGATATGTACCTCGATGCGGAACAGTGTATCGCGGCGTGGTAGATTCAACCAGAAATATCGCTAAGTCCACAAACGATATTCACGTGTGCGAGAAAAACAACGGGATTCGTCTCTTTGCCAAATGCTACGCATATGCACGATGAAAATGCAAATTTGGAAGGAATGTTGCATGTGTATATGCGTATGTGTATGTGTGTACATACGTGCATATTCGCCGGGAATATATTCGACAAACGAATGATACGGTTCAAAACACGATCTGCAGTGATTCGCAAAGCATAGAGAACAGCCGTCGATAAAATATCCCGGAAATAGGATATTCTTGTCCCTCTTCGAGACTCTGTGTTATAGTAGTCAAGCTGGATAGATGGATGCACGTTTGATATACTGTCTACGTCGATCGATCACGCACCCTGTTCTATTCGTTTTGCATTCACAAACGAGCGAATGAGACAAACATATCTCGATATTCATCAAACGATCACCGAAGTTTGCGGCCGCTCGTTCAATCTAAAAAGCCTTTGCCATTGATTTTTAACGCAATTGCGCGTGATTTTTATAACATTGTACATTGATGCATAATCACTACACAAAGTATCACTATTAATAATCTAAAAATAAAAAAGCCTGTGGTTTATATTTGGAAGATTTAAAAAATAATTAAATCAGAATAATGCTTTTTTTATTGAATTGATAAATATGATCAATTTACCCTCGCGTAAGAGAGATGTCTCTTAAGATTTACTACCTCAATTTAAAGGCAACCGCACTGTTTCTCACGGGTTCTACACGCATCCGATTAATCTTGGTATCCTTAAAGTATACATAAACGAACGGCGTCGGTCGTCGTTTCAATTATTACTGAACTGCCTTCTGCCAGTCAGTCGGAAACGGCGAGCAGCCTGATTTCCCGCGCCGCGTATACCGTGCCAGCGTTTCACGGGACTGAAATTTCGACATTACGCGCGAGGTCGGTCTCGAGTAGGATATGGGCCTTGCATCGTTTATGACGGGTTTCTGATTCGGAGATGAGTGTACGTGGGACGCATAAGATAGGGTCTCACCTCGGCAAATCTGCACGTGACCTTAATACGGGTTACCGCGTCATCCGGATTCGCACGTTCCCATGTGCATCCTAAAGTCTAAACACTCCTATATGAGTCGAGGCTTTGGTCGGCGGCATTATCGCGCACACGTGGCCGCACACGTACATGTATAACTGAGATGCAAAGATGGATATAATGCATCGATGTACATACATGCATTTTCACAAACAACTTGGGTAAAAATTTAGAAGATAAACTATCATCGCAATTTTTCAAATCAAATTATATTCCCTCTGATTTTTGCTTTTTAGCTCCATTTTTATTTGTCTCTATTTAAATTATTTTCTATTTTAATGCGAACGCGCGGTACAGAACTCGAATTGGCAATGTATCGATCGCTTCCATATCGCGCGTACTATTTCTACCGAGATCTCGCTGTGATGTGTTTATCAAGGCATGGATATGCAAGTGGGCTATCTTTTTCGTGGACACGGACGAATGCTGATGCGGCGAGGCAAGATCTTTGGAATATACACGGTGGCTCGGGGGTCGCGGCCGGTTGGTCAGTCGCTGTTGTTTTATTCAAGAAGCTGAATATTGAAACGAGAACCAATACCGGCCATCCGTTTCCACACGGAGGAAAACGGATGCGCTTATAGCCTCACGCTTACATAAATGCGTCCGGAAGCGATCTATATGAGAATGCATTCGCGTCGTATTGGCCCGCCTGCTCTCGACAGGCGTCTCGTCAGCGGCAAATTATCTGCTTGGCTAATTGATCAGTCGTCTAACGCTGGCGATTACGGTGTCGCTAACGAGCATCCACCGTCTAATGAGCGTCGAGTCGTGTTATCGTTCCATACCGTTTGTAGTTAAGTATCGATATACGCGGAAACGGATAATATCTTTTATATTAAAAATTTAGATACAAAAAACGATGCGTTAGAGAAGATGAAATTTTTATCAATATTATACTTTTAGCAACGATGTAACTTGTAATAATTTTATGCATTAAATTTTGCTCTTTAATCGGGACCATATGACATTTGCTATCTAACATTAGACGCGACATTTTTAGCATCTATTATCGATTTTTTCTAGTCTGCATTATTATGTTTTAATCGATAATTTCTTGAGGATAACGGGCCATTGAAAGACTTTCTTGAAATATTTAGTGGATTTATCCGATTTCCGATAACAAAAGGTCAAGATATATCGGACGTAACATTTTACCTCGTACATTTATTCGCTTCGCTTAGACGATATTTTAACTACTTAATATGATTGATAGCCGGATACGTTTTTAAACACAATCAATTGAATCCATGCGTTATATACGTTTAATGGACTTTTTTAAACAATAAGAATATATAAATTAAGTTATTTTAATATACAATTTTATGAAATAAGTAATTATATATATATATATATATATATATATATATATATATATAATATTGGACATAAATTGTGTGAATAATATAAAAACAGATAGATATTTTATCTCTCGAGATTTTTCCATGTGCGTGATTTTTTGTATATAACGCGATGAACACAATTGATTTCGTCATTAGCCATTTGATCGCTTAGTTAATTACCGATCAAATGTGGAATCGGTGAAACGCTCATCCCCGTTGACGAGGGTTTCGTAATTCCTACGACATCCTGCATTATCCTGCATTAACGGCAACAATAAGAGAACGTACCGTCTGACAACATCATTAAAGGCTCGGTGACAACCGAGTTGTCTGAGGAATTAGGATGGCTACAGAATTTAGGGAAATGTCACAGTCGGATCGTGAATTTAAACCTTGCTCAACGAATCGTCCATTTATAGCGTCTAAATAGATTTGTCTAAGACGTAAGTCTATTTTTATTATATCGCTTATATCTAAATCTTTACGATTCTTCTGTATCTAAATAAAAATTTTCTAAATGAATATTAACGTTCAAGGAGATTAAGTAGCCATTTTAATATTAAAAACTTTTTTTTTCAACGTATCTGATGTAGAAAATGCCTTACAATAAAATGCACTTTGCATCGGTTATATTTACATTAAACTTGAAATATATTTCAAGAGAAAAATATCGTACATATATTCAAGATATTCAGACAGCTGTGACACAACACAGAAAGAGTACTTTAAAAGACACTTACGGGAACTGTATCACATATGTCAACAGCGTGGATCGAGGAATTCACGAGGGGGATATTCCGATATAAAGGGAGATAAATAAGAGGCTAGTTATTCGAAATTCTTTTCTATCCGTGAAATTCTGAAAAAAAGAACTTTTCGATGGGATCTATAAGGTATGATTGATTGTTCGAAGTCGATTATGATATTTATATTAAGCGTCGCGGACGCGATTCCATCATCCTTTCCGCTCATCAACGGCGCGCATTATCTTGTCGCGTTTATCACACGCTTCTGTAGTCCCGTAGCGTAATGCGTAGCTTGCATGCGTTTGCGTATATATGTACTTATTACGACTATATGCGCCTTCCCATCGTTGTGTACCTACATATCTCCGTCACTCGAGAACTGTTGCGAAACGTTCCGCGTCTGAACACAATAATGTAAGTTTGAGCACGAGGGTGTAGACGTTAGAAACATATCCCTAGATATGTCCTTAGCTTTGCCCCGTCAAACTTTTGGGACGAGCATCGCTTCGGACCAGAAGGTTACCGATCGTGAACAACAACTTGCGACTGATAAATTGTAAATCTATATTAAATAAATTCTAAAAATAATAGATTGACAATTTTGTGTGCGCGAAAAATATTCGCGACGTTCGTTCGGCGAAATAATGCACAATGCGTTGCAGTAAGCGCTGTCTAAAAGTCATGTGCGAGGATATGACTCGTGTGCATTTTTTTTTTTAAGGAAAAGCACACGCGTATGTATACATAGTTATGAATATATATTTGACAAAAGCAACGTGTGTTCCTGGCTGCGTTTTTATACATAGTATACATGTAAAGTGAAATAAAATGCCTGGGATAAAAAAGGAAACGCGATATACCGTTGTATCGACGAGTCCTTTTGACTTTGTCGCATCCACGGCATGCGATAAAACGCACGAGAAGGCCATTTCGATGCCAGCTACGTATACCTTTAAGTTCGTTAACGTTCAACCAACGCGACTACGTAGGACTACACTTTTGCCCGGTGTATTTTCGAGAGGCAATTTCCTTGCGATTGGTTCAGAATGGTTCCATTACACAAGGATATCGATGCGGCTGTGCGACGCGAGAGATGGAATACTGCCACTGCGCGAAATTCGATCTACAATCTGCGTTCTGTCGTCGCATACTTCCATGTGGCTCGTACAATTGGCGAGGAATACAGTAAGCGATACGAGAATATAAAGGTAATCTCTGCAAACAAACGTATTGTGTGTTAAACGTTAATTACACATCGATCTTATTTCTTTAATCCTGTGAAATCGAGATTATTTCTAGTTCAGGAGAAAATAAATTTCAGATATCGATGAATTTATTTGTGAGCATATGCATAGAAGCGAGGTCATTTTGTCGGAATTAATGTCTGCGTTATGATATACTATGCAAAAATTTAAATATCTTTGTGCCAAGAAAGTCGAGTAATAAGTAACAAGAATTTCGCGACATTGAAATTAAAGTTAGTTGATTATTTTCTTAATTATATCGATTCTTCACGCAATTGATGCTTCTTTGGCTATCGATTAAAT